ATATATTGAAATATATAAAATATATTATGGAAATAGGATACATTAAATAATCAAACCTTTAAAAACAAAAATTATTTTCATTATTAATTTTTTAAATGAAATTCAAAGACACCCAGTTTAGGCATTTTAAAATATGTTTGCAAAAATGTGAATTGCTAATAGCTTTGGTTCCTATAAAAAAAAACTGATTTTTTTGCTTGTATCTTTTTGGCAGCTGCAGTTGATACAAGCTGATTATATTACCATAGTAACAAAAAGCTCCATAAATGACAAGTCAATGATATTTCTTTGATTATTTGCATCTCCCTGGAAACCTGGGTTTACCAATGCCCGTCTAATTGCTGAATAGAAAAGGCCATTTTGTTGTCAAGAAATCAAAGTAGCAGTTGTCTGTATCGACAGGGAAATCAAGATGGAGAGAGAAAAAAAAAAAAAATGAAGTTTATTTTATTTACTGAATATGATATGCAAGGAGCCATATCCATTATTGGTTTTTCAAAGTTTTTATAGACTAAATTCTAAGTGTACAATTATACTGTGGAAAGTAAATATATTTTTTGCTTGCTGTTCTGGAGAGGAAATAATGCTGGCAGTAAATACTTTCAGTCAGATGAAACGATAATGTTTTTAGTCATTTCATTTAAATCAAGAGTTAGTATTATTGTATTTAGCAGTAAATTAAACTGCCATTTGTTTTCAATCAGCAACAGTAAGAGAAATGGTGGCAGAGGGAGTCAAGTTTGACAGTAAGGAAATAGCAACATTAAAATAATTCTTTTGCACTTCTTTTATGTGCTATGTCCTGTCAGGATGTAGGCGATCATGGCTCTCTACAATTTCCTAACCTTTGTAGCTCTTAATAAATTTTGTTCTTTTGTTATCTTTCCTAAATCTTATTCCACCATTCATTTACTCAAGCTCACTAAGTAAACTATGCGTTGTTTTCCTGTTCTTGCTATCAGTATGTCCCTGTGAGTATCTAATCTTCCAAGCAATCTTTCCTTATGTGCCCTAGAAATTTCAACTGTCTCTTCCTGATGTTAAGTATAAATTTCTTTTTCATTTCTATTTTCTCTAAAACTTCATTGTTGCTCACATGTTCAGTCCATGGTATTCTCAACATCCTTCTGGAGAGTTGCATTTCTGTTGCTTCAAGTCTCTTCTTCATCTGTGAGAAGATCGTCCAGCATTCTCTGCCATATAGAAGGACAGATATCATGTAACAGTTCAGTACACTTTTCTTTGTTTCAAGGCTCTTCTTCATCTTTGGAGAGATTGTCCAGCATTTTCTGCTATACAGGAGGACAGATATATCATGTAACAGTTCAGTACTCTCTGCTTTGTGTGTAACAAAAGTTTTATTTTTATTAACAAAATTTTTTTTTTTTTAAAAAGCATGTTCAACATTGGCAAGCATTTTTTTATTATTTTAAACCACTCATGCAAACTTATATTTTTTAGCTGATATTTATAGCAAGTTAGAATTTAATTTTGATGGTTATTTTTTATTCCTGCTGCAGAGAAAATAAAATGGTGATGGCAAAGCAACAGAGTAAACTGACTTTGGGTGGATATGAACATGTGAATTTCCTGACTGAAATATTTTACACGTCCTTTTGGTCATTTTGGGGGGAGAAAAAATAAAGAAAATGCTCCAGATGTAATAAATCAATTTATTTTAAAACATTAATTAAGATTAACATGTGAGATATATCTTCTTCTGTGTGACATGTAACTTCAGGATATGGACAATCATGGCCCTCCACAATTTCCTGTTCTTTGTAGTTCTGAGTAAATTTTGTCTTTTCACCATTTCTCCTAATCCCTGTTCTGCCAACCATTTACACAAGCTCGTTAGGCAGATTATGTGGCACTTTTCTCAGTCTCCCTTACCATCAATCTTTCTTTTGAGTGTTAAATTTTCTAAGTCCTCTTTCCTCATTACATGCCCCAGAAATTTCAACTTTTTTTCTGGTTCCAATTAAAAGTGTCCTTTTGGTTTCTATTTTTTCTAAAACTGTCATTGCTCACATGTTCATTCTCAGCATCCTTCTGTTGATCCAAATTTTTGTTGCCTCTTCATCTGCAAAGAGACTGTCCAACATTCACTGCCATATAGAAAGAAGAATATTACATAACAGCTCAGTACTCTTTTCTTTGTTTCTAATGAAATTTTCCTTTTCTTAATACTTTGCTTAACTTTTGGAAGACATTTTTTGCTATCCTTTGGATTTCAGTGACACACTCTCTGTCCTCTGTTTAAAGACTTCCTTGTTATTTAAATTATTTTACTTGCTTTATTTTGGCATCTCCAATTTGTAATTTGCATTTTGGGTTGTCCATTTTACTGACAACCATACATTCATTTGTTCTTACAATTGATGCTTAGTCCTTTCTTCTCACTTTCCTTTACTATCTTCTGTTGGAATTTTAGTATTTTCCTTTCTGTCTTTTCATCTGCATATTTTATGTTCTTAAGATTTTGGCCACCAATAATGAATCTTGGTAGGATTTATATTTTTGATATTTATGTTTGTTTATTCATGTACTATTTCATAACTTGTCTTCCTATTTAAAAAAAATGTTATTTTTTTTTAGAGTTTCTAAAACATGTCATGTATATAAAGTTTATATAATTATTATTATTATAGATTTTACATGCAGACAAAAACAATTACTAAAAAGATGCATTCTTGTTTCAATGCATTATGCGCATCTTGACTGGTGAGAACAAAAAATGGTCATCACCATAGGCAACCATTTTTTGTTCTCACCAATTGAGATGCACATAATGCATCGAAACGAGAATGCATCTTTGTAGTGAGTAATTGTTTTTGTCCGCATGTAAAAATCTATAATAATAATAATTATTGCTCTACTCTTGGCATTGTGCTTTTTTGAATTAATGCTGTGAATGTTAGAATTTATATTATTTTCATTCTCATTACATTTGTGTGTGTGTGTGTGTGTATATATATATATATATATATATATATATATATATATATATATATATAATATATAAAAAAAAACACTTTTTATTATATCCTTACTCTGTACTGGACATTGAGTTCTACCTGGATTCTATCCTCTTGGAATTATTTTTTATACAAATATATATATGATTGCATATGTATATATATATATATTTATGTATTTTAGATATATGATTGCATATGTATTTGTATATTTACCACTATATATATATATATATATATATATATATATATATATATATATATATATATATATATAAGAATATATGCAATATCCAATGTTGATAGCACAACTCAGAGTTTCATGCAATTCTTGCAATCTTCAGGTGTGGAACATATTCTATAATGTATATTATATATTTTATAACGCTTGAGGAAGAAATATATTTATATGTATGTACAAGTATATTGCATGCATATATATTTTTCTTCTTACCCATACCTATATATCATACAGGGTACGATGGGTAAATTGTCACCATTTTATATTTTTAATTTTGTGCCTGCGTGCTGTTTTTGATTTTGTCAACTGCACAGTATAGTAAGGTCAGTTGGGCAATGTCTGAGAAAAAGAGCACCATGATGCAATTTGCTGCACCAGAAATCTTTAAATGTCATACTGTACTGCTTGGCATTCACACTGGAAGCTCCAAGAGAAACATTGCAGAATGGGTGTCAATCAGTGCAGAGGATTCAGAAAGAGTTGGATGATATATTCAGTCAGCATCATAGTGTTTATGGTGATCACTAGTGATGGCGACATTATGCCTTCCTTCATCTTCCAATAGAGCTTCAGACTCAACATGGAGGCCTACATCAAGTGACTTGAGAAGATAGTGCTGTCCTGGGAGAAGAGGGTGGCTGCTGGAAGACTTTATGTCTGCCAACAGGACTCTCTACCATGTCACACAAGCAAGAGAACCCAGTCATGGCTGCCAAAGAATTTCTGCAAGCACATCACTCCTTACATCTGGCCACCTAACTCTTCAAACTGGAACCCCCTTGATTATTATGTGTGGGGTGCAGTTGAGCAAGAGGCCAACAAAACTCCTTGTAACACCAAAGATGAAGAACTGAAACGAAGGATTTTGGCAGCATTGACCAACTGTTATACCTGACATACCTATTCTATTATTAATAGACTCTCCTACACATAATAAGTAGTAGTAGCAGTCGCCAGTTGGGCTGAGTGGTGTTGAGTGAGTCTGTCGGACATTGAAGTATCAACCATCACAACTAGATTGTTGCGTCATTAACTCTTATTTCAAGTTCCTAACGTTTTGTACGTCAAACCTAATTTAGGACGACTTATTGAAATACAAGCCTCCACTGTGAAAACTACTCTACAACACCAACTTAAACAAGGAGACCATCCAGAAGAGTTGCAGGAGATTCTGAAGTCATCTGGAGAATGAGGTTGAAGCCAATGGCAATTTTATTGAATAAATTTACTCTTTAGTATTTCAAGATATTTTTGTGTTACTGTGAAAATATATTAAAATGAGATGTCAGTGTTATTTTCATTCTTGCGTTATTTAGATGACAATTTATCCATCGCGCCCTGTGCTTTATCAAATGCTTTTGCATAATCTATAAAACAGAGGCCCATCTCCTTCTGCATTTGTATTGCTTTTTCTGATGTTCTGAACATAAATATCACATTCCTTGTACCAGTGTCTGTAAGGTAACCACATTGTTCTTGCCTTTTTATGGTCTAATTCTACTGTGTGCTTTGTTCATCAAAATTAGGATAAGTTTTGTTATATGACTCTTTAGGCTGATTGTCTGATTGAGTTCACATTCATTTGCACCTGGCTTCTTAAGCCGTGCTGTGAAAATAGATTGACTTATGTCTTCCGGTATTTCACCATTGTTGTATATTTTGTTTCTTATGTCTAATTTTATCAATGCCAGAGTCATCAAAGGCTACCAGCCTATGTATTAAAATTCCATTTACGAATTACTTAATTATTACTAACAAGTATCATTTAAATTTCATTTTAGATCACCTTTGGAAAAGTGAATGCAGAAGCAGAGAAATCCTTAGCTTCAGAGTGAGTATTTTTTATTTATTTTTTCATTTTTTACAGAAACAATTTTTTACAATAATGAAAATGTTCAACAGAAAATAGATAAAGTCGAAATAATAGTCTGAACAATTTTGGTAAAGCTGTCGAAGTTGGGATTGGTGGTGCTAATATATATATATATATATATATATATAAGGCACGGTGGAGTAATGGTTAGCGGCTTGGATTGAGGAATCGCAGAGCCGAGTTCGAATTCCAGTCGAATCCATTACATTCACTTACTTGCTAATACCCTTGGGAAAGGTATGAATCCTCTTCCTCTCCCTCCAGCTATGGGTAAAATAGCAGGACAGACTGGGTTCTATAGCCTTGGATAGCAACTGGTCTAGGAGAAGGTCAACTCTGAATTCAAAACCTGCGGAGGGTTGTTTGGGAACCTTGTGGCATTCGGTGCACCAGGTCTCTGTATTCGTCTCTTCAAAAGTCTTCACCACTATAATCAAATCTCATGTGCCGGTGTTGGGTTGTCGGTTTCCTGGAAACTGATCTGCTTGACCCTCATACGTCGAATCTCGACGGGAGAGTCGACTATATATATATATATATATATATATATATATATATATATATATATCAAAGTTTTATCTATTAAGTTATCAAAGTTTTCTACAAAGCAGAGAAAGTATAAATCTGAAATTTAATATTCCAGAAACTTGTTAAGGTGATTTTTTTTTTTAAAAGTAAAATTGTATTTCAGTCCAGTTTCTTCTTATTGAGATACAGTTTTTGAATGACATGGAATAAAGCAGACACAGAGAGATTTCAGTTTTTGGCTAAGCTTCGGCCTTCTTCAGGTTATATATATTGGAATTTCAGAGTGAACCCTTTATAAGGACTGGAGCATACAATTGATGAAATGTTGTGAATATAGTAATAAAGATAAGGACAACAGTCAGAACAGTGTAAATAATGAGAGGACAGTAGAAGTACTGAGGAAGAAATGACTAAGAAATTGTTTTAATATATATGTACAAAATTCACTTTATATATATATATATATATATATATATATATATATATATATATATATAGAGAGAGAGAGAGAGAGAGAGAGAGAAGAAGTACAATCAAAGTATTGAAACATGAAAGCTTTTGTGTAGTTTCAACATATATATATATATATATATATATATATATATATATATATATATATATATATATATATATACTACTAAAGGTTGAAACCAAGGTAGCAGATTCAACTGATCGCCTGATTTTTTTTAAGTTAAAAAGCTCTACATATTTTTTATTTTTTACACATATATTCAGCACTTTTTTAATACTACTGTTTCATGGTCTGATTCAACTCTGACCATTCACCTTTTAAATATATTATATATATATATATATATATATATATATATATATATATATATATATATATATATATATATATATATTAGTAGATACATAATTACACATGTACATATATACATACAAATATTTTTATGTATGCATATATATTATGAAATGGACTAAGTCAAAAAATTATTTTAATATATTTTTTTTTTGTTTATACTTATTTTTATAGATAAAATATTAAAGTAAATGCTCTGGTTATAATAAACAGTATTAACAACATTTACTTGGCTGATTGTCTAAGAAATCTCAAAGAAAATATGTGTCCTCTGATAGGAATCAAATCTGTATCCTATATGGAACTAGATGCTTCCTCTGTAGCTAAATAGTATAGCATGTCAGGCTATATGGCAGTTCTGTGTAGGATACAGGTTTGATTGCTGTCAGGGGACAAATATTTTCTTGGAGATTTCTTGGACATTCAGGCCAGCAAATGTTGTTTAATACTGTTTATAACCAGAGCATTTACTTAAATATTTGTATCTATGAAAATAAGGTATAGACAAAAAATATATTAAAACATGTTGCATATGCATTAACACGAACACACACTCATACTCACACAGACAAACGAGAAAAAAAATTCACACTTCAAATTGCCCCCCTTAAAAATCAAGTTGCCCCCCTGTTGAGAACTACAGGTTTAAAGGGCAAATGTTTTTAGTGGCCTTTACAGGACAAGTGATTTTTCTTTCTTGATGTTGAAAGTTTTAAGCAGTAAATAATTTAGATAAAAAAACAAAATATAAAAGACAAACAAAATGAGAAAATTTCATTCATTAATCCAGAGTCCAGACCATTCATTTGGCTTCCAGAATATTGGAATTTCTGGAGAAAGAAGAAAAGAAATTAATTTTTGAATCTGTCAGGCTTTGTATTAATTCACTGTTTGACTGCTTTTAGAAGAATAATCAGGTACTTGTTGCAAACTGAATACCCACTAGGAAATTCAAAAAACACACAAAATGTACGTAAAAATATAAAACAAAAACAAAAAAAGCAAAAACTGAAATCATATAAAATTGATTAATCAAATTTCATAGAATTTTTATCCTTAAAACGGAAGAATTGGAGAAAAATCGGATATAAAGTTATTTTCTTCCATTTTATGAAAATGAAGTAGGATTTGTATAAGGAAGCCATGGGAATGGGGAAATTACTTTGAAAATTTTCACTGCCAATTATAGACTTGCAAAAATCTTGGTAAATCCATTTAATTAGTAAAATTTAATGAAACTTTCACAATATAATAATTAGTGACTGAATGTATCCCTGAAAATAATTGTATAACATTGACTTTACCAACTCTTTAGATATGTTTCTAGAAAGATCTGTGGACCAATTTATTCTTTGAAAAAAATCCATCTGAAAGCATTGTTTATGAGCCCAGAGTGTGTATGTAAATTTTGGTGCAAATCCGTTGAAAATTGTGGCCATGCATTCATTACACACACACATCCTGCCTTTTATATATATATATATAAAAGGCAGGATGTGTGTGTGTGTGTGTGTAACGAATGCATGGCCGCAATTTTCATTTGATTTGCACCAAAATTTACATGCACATGCTCCAAGTTAGCGGAAAGGCCAAGACCAACTTTGCATTTCCTAACTCCCATCGATAGTGGAAATAATCGATTTTTTCATGCTTCTATGGCAGTTTTCATGTAGTTTGCGGCCATTTTCTACTGGCCAGAGTGAGAGCCTATAGCTGGCTGCCATGAATGTTAACTAGCATGCTAGCATGCAAAAAAAAAAAAAAAAAAATTGATAGCTGCATTCGTCACAAGTGGAAAAAATTTAAATCTGCATGGCACTTTACTCCAATTGGCTCATTTGCTTGCTTAAACTCAACGTTGATTCTGATTCTGCAGAACTGGGTTGGATGCGAAAAAGTATTTGTTGTTAACATTTTTTTTTTCATTTGGTTTTTCCTGTTACGAGTCCTTGTTTTAAAGCTGATCATTTTGTGTTCATTTTGTTTAGTTCTTTTTTCATAACAGATTTAATGTTTAGTATAGAGCTTAGAAAAAATTTGCTGTGTGAGATAGGCAAGAAGTAAGGCATGTAGCAACATCAGCACGGCAAAGAGCACTCCTTTTAAGGGAAGGAAGGGCAAAAATATTTTAAGTCAAGTGATAGCGATTGCTGTATAAGTCATACGATTTTTGAATCAAGCACGGGCAATGCTGGACCATGCTGCTAGTAATATAAAACATATATTGTTAAATATAACAGATAATGAATGTCTATTATGTTTTATCATGAGCCGTTCTAAACTCTGTATATTTGCTTTTAATTTTGGGTGACAATAATGGCAAAAATCATCCAACAGTTGGATATTTTTTTTTATTAAGTTGTTCCTTGATCTAAGCTTTCGGCTCACATGAGCCATCTTCAGAGTTGTTATGGACATTTAAAGAAAGATATTCACCATCAAAAGTTGATATCCTGTTATGTTGATATAGAAAATTGCTATGCGACAATAACGGTTGTGGAATAATATAATAAATGGTTTGGAATTCAGAGTTGTCCTTCTCACAGATTCCTTTTCTTTCTCTTATCTTCTTAGGAAAAGATAGGGGAGTGGTTTCCACAGTTTGTTCAGAGTTGTCCTTCTCACAGAATTATCTGAATTGCCATGTCTTCTTGGGAAAAGATAGGGAGTTTTCCATTGCCTTCTCCACAGTTTGGAATTCAGAGTTGTCCTTCTCACAGATTCCTTTTCTTTATTATCTCTGAATTGCCATGTCTTCTTAGGAAAGATAGGGGAGTGGTTTCCCATTGCCTTCTCCACAGTTTGGAATTCAGAGTTGTCCTTCTCACAGATTCCTTTTCTTTATTATCTCTGAATTGCCATGACTTCTTGGGAAAGATAGGGGAGTGGTTTCCATTGCCTTCTCCACAGTTTGCCAGAGTTGTCCTTCCTCACAGATTCCTTTTCTTTATTATCTGTGAATTGCCAACTTCTTGGGAAAGATTGGTTTCCCATTGCCTTCTCCACAGTTTGGAATTCAGAGTTGTTCTTCTCACAGATTCTTTTCTTTATTATCTGTGAATTGCCATGACTTCTTGGGAAAGATAGGGGAGTGGTTTCCCATTGCCTTCTCCACAGTTTGGAATTCAGAGTTGTCCTTCTCACAGATTCCTTTTCTTTATTATCTGTGAATTGCCATGACTTCTTGGGAAAGATAGGGGAGTGGTTTCCCATTGCCTTCTCCACAGTTTGGAATTCAGAGTTGTCCTTCTCACAGATTCCTTTTCTTTATTATCTGTGAATTGCCATGACTTCTTGGGAAAGATAGGGGGAAAGTGGTTTCCCATTGCCTTCTCCACAGTTTGGAATTCAGAGTTGTCCTTCTCACAGATTCCTTTTTCTTTATTATCTGTGAATTGCCATGACTTCTTGGGAAAGATAGGGGAGTGGTTTCCCATTGCCTTCTCCACAGTTTGGAATTCAGAGTTGTCCTTCTCACAGATTCCTTTTCTTTATTATCTCTGAATTGCCATGACTTCTTGGGAAAGATAGGGAGTGGTTTCCATTGCCTTCTCCACAGTTTGGAATTCAGAGTTGTCCTTCTCACAGATTCCTTTTCTTTATTATC